CCAAGAATCTCAAGTTTTTCACCATTAGCTATAATGATATGCTTATTCAAGGCTTTAGGTTTAAAATACAAATTAGAGTATGCCCCCGTCATATGAATTGAGGCACATGAGTCAATTACCCAAAGATGACTAGGAGAAGAACAGTAAAGAGAATACTCACCAGACAGCCCAATAGCAGAGAATACAAAAGAAATGAGAGACAAGATGACTTTATTCCTTACACTCGTAACTTTGTACCTTAGAGAGATCCTACTTTTGCTTTGGTTTGTTTGCAAAGACGACAGTTTCAATTCCAAATTCATTCTTCCCATTAATGGAGGATTGAGTTGATGGGATGAGAGATCCATCATATGGATGGCCGAACCTTGCAGGAAGGTTGGGCGAAATTTCAAAAATTTCTCTCTCCCCATGTGGGAATCGCATTCCCTATTTTAGAAAACTGCATTTTCAATGATCAATCTTGAAACCAAACCGGACCAGATATGAAACCAAAAGGGAGTAGAGGGATATACCTGATACGGAGTAATAGTAAACCCCCAATGAAGGTGTTCACGCCCAAGGAGAGAACCAAAGACTGCTTCCACCGAAGATGACACGGTGTGAGGTGAAGCAGAATCAACAAGACGATTCTTCAGTAAGAACTGAATTCTTCAGCAAGAATATGATGGAGGGCTGGTGAGCACGACTTCAGATTGCCTCTTCTAGCAAAAGGCAATATCAAGAACTGTTCTTGATCATTCCCACTGGTGGACATCGAACTGGGTAGGGCAGCAAGAGTAGGAACAAGAGAAGAAGACAGAAGCAGTTGAACTGTATATTATCTTCTCTCTTAATTCAGTAGACTATCTGTTGTGTTTTGAGGGTTCGCCCTGCTCTTCTATTTATAGCCTTAAAGAGAGATTCTCCTAATCCCATTAGGAGTTTCCTAATCCAAATCTTATATTTTGATCTGGACTCTCTTTAAGAGATAAGGATAATCCCTTATCTTATCTGCAGATAAATATCAGCCTTCCAAATCTAATTAGGAGTTTCTTGATCCAAATCTTTATTTGGATCTGGGCTCTTTGAATGGATAAGGATAATCCCTTATCCTATCTGCTGATTTAAATCCCAGAACTGCCCTCTTTTAATTATTCTTATTAGGTCAGTTCGAATTGGGCTTTAGGCCCATTAAGTCTATGTGCTCACTAGCCCTCTTAATCTGCTGCCCAATTGGTTATCCTTGTATGGTGTGGGACCCAAACATTGATCTACACATCAGCCACATAGGTTCAGCCCAGTCTCCGTCACAAGGCCTGGCCGAATACACTGTTATGGACAGTGCACCCCCTGAATCCCATCTTATGGGCTCTATGGGCCCAACACTTACCCTAAATGGTCCTTGGGCCAAGCCACCTTGTAACACCTAGGGACTGTGGGCAGATGCAAGATTAGCCCATCAGGTATTACCCTCAATGGTTTTACACTTAACCTCTCAGCCCATAATGATCAAACACT